TATATATATATATATATATATATATATATATATATATATATATATATATATATATATATATATATATATATATTTAATATATATATATATATACATATATATATATATATATATACATATATATATATATATATATACATATATATATATATATATATATATATATATATATATGCATATATATATATATATATATATATTTAATATATATACATATATTTAATATATATACATATATTTAATATATATATATATATATATATATATATATATATATATATATATATATATATATATATATATATATATTTTAACAAATTAAAATGTATTCCACAAAAAGAGTGCTCAATGTTCTTAAAACAACAGAGCAATTACAAATTATTAGAAAATCACTTTGAAATTTTTTTTTCATTTAACACTGTGTTTCATCAATAAAAACTTATCTGAAATCGATGAGTCTATATTGATGAAACACAGTGTTAAATGAAAAAGAATTTTGCAAAGTGATTTTCTAATAACTTCTAATAATAATATATATATATATATATATATATATATATATATATATATAATATATATATATATATATATATATATATATATATATATATATATATATATATTAATTAGTAGAAAACCACTTAGCGAAATTTTTCTCATTTAACACTGTGTTTCATCAATAAAGACTCATCAGAAATGAATGATCAAATTAATAAATCTTCAATTTATACCAAAAATTAAATTACAGGAAGTCACATGTCTTAACTACTGCAATTTTTCACACATTTGTGTAATTTTCTGACACTATTGTAAAAAGAATTCTTTAGAAATGATTACTTAAGCTTTTTTAAAAAATAATATATTTTTTTCAAAGGGGAGTTAATGTAACTATTATTTGAGCTCACTTATTTTTAAAGTTTTTTAGTAGAAACTTATTTTCGTGCTTGCATTTAGAAATCAATTTTTTGTTTAATAAACATTCTTGGTTTGTATGTGTAATTATTTCAAATTTTTCTTGTAGACATAGTATGCATTTTTTAGAAATATTGTTATATGCAGGCACTGTTTTAAGGATGGACCAATTCAGTGTAAAATCATCAATATTTTTATCTTTTAATTCCCATATATATTTTGACAGCATTGTGTCTTTTGAATACTTTTTATTTTTAGAAGATTGCTTATGATTGGCAAAACGTTTTTTTCCATTCACCTTCTTTTATGCCAATATATTGTTTATCAGGTACATTTTTAGAGGAGACAACACATTTATATACCACATTTTTTGATAAGCAACTTCCACTCATTGGACAATTGTTTTTTTGTTTACAACTACAATTTTCTGTAGTTTTTTCATTTTGGATTTCTTTTTTGTTTAACAAAGCATTGTTGTGACCTTTTATAATTCTTTCCATATTTTTTGTGCAACTGTAGCTAACTTTAATAGTATTTCGATTAAAAATTTTATGTAATTTATTAGAGGGTGGGAAATGCTTATCGATTAATTTTAAAAACACTTTTCCTATGTTTGTGGAAATATTTTTGTTATATGGGGGGTTGAACCAAATTACATTTCTAGTTCTATTTCGCTTTTTTGTATTCTTTTTTTCAGGGTCAAATTTTAATTCAAAGTTTTTAAAACCACTTTTTTTAAGAGCATCTTCAAATATCTGTTTCGAGGAAGTGAATACATTTTCATTAGAGGAGTTTTGGTTAAGCCTGTTATTAATTGAAATCGGGATTTCTTTTAGAATTTGGGGTGGATGATTTGAGTTAATATTAATATACAATAATTCATCGTTTGGTTTTTTGAAAGGCTTATATGTATTTTCAGAGAGGTTAAATGTGACCTCAAGAAAGTTCACAGTTTTTAAATTTATGTTTATTTCAATTTGAAAGCCAATATTTTTAAAAATTTTTATAATATCTTTTCTAATTTTATCAAGCTGTGGACCAGATTTTTTACGCATTACTATTAAACCATCATCGCGATAAACTTCCTGTAATTTAATTTTTGGTATAAATTGATGTTTTATTAATTTGATCATTCATTTGTGATGAGTCTTTATTGATGAAACACAGTTTTAAATGAGAAAAAATTTTGCTAAGTGATTTTCTACTAATTTGTAATTGCTCTGTTTTTTAAGAACATTGAGCACTCTTTTTGTAGAATACATTTTAAATTGTTTAAATATATATATATATATATATATATATATATATATATATATATATATATATATATATATATATATATATATATATATATATATATATATATATATATATATATATATATATATATATATATATATATATATATATAATCGCAAACCTAAATAACAAAACTAATGTAGTTATGGAGAACTCGTAAATAACTGTGAACAGTATTTCATCTGGCACCTTTTTCTTTATCGATTTTATAAACTACTGATATATTGTTTTAATCATTGTTTATCGTATTATGAAGTTTTTTCGCAAGAACTTTATGGCTATAAATCTGATATCTTTATTTGCATGAACATTTTATTTTTGATTTCAAGACTTTGATAACTTTTTTTTCAAAATTATTTTTCATGCTTTAAAAGTTTAAAAATAAATTAGCATCATTTATAACTTTTATAGTTTTTATCTATTATCTATACTTTATAAATATAGATTTTATTAATAACAATTATAATTCATTCTCTGCAGGTTAAAAAACATTTTTAATTAATCAACTGTGGCTCGAGAAACTCTTATAACAATTGGCTTGGGGTCAGTGTGTTGTAAATGGTATGTTCTCTTTAAAAAATGTATTAGGGTAGAGCGGAGCTAGTTGAGATATTTTTACTATATCGAACAGATCTCATGAACGGTGAGTCAGATTTACATAATTTTTTTTTGTTTATATATATATATGTTTCAGAAATTTCAAAGTTAAAAAAATGACATTTACTTTCACGGCTCCAAGTTTTTCCTCACCTCATGCGCCAAAAAAATATTGTAGCGCGTCGCATTTTTAAACCACTAAATATTTGAATAAAAAGTTTCAGTTGATAATTGTTTTTCAATTCTGTTGATCGAATTTATTTTGTGGATATTATAAACTTTTTCAAAATTCCTATTTATTGATCCATTGCGTAATAAGCATGTAAATTTAGCCTCTGATCTGGCCATGAAAATTGCCTCTTTATATCAAAGTTTTGCTTTCAAATCAATTTATTATCAAGTATTGTCTTGAAATCACCCGGAACAACACGAAAAAAAAAATCAGATAAAATTCCGGAAAAAGTTGATAAGTTTCGTATAAAATCGGTATTATTCGAGAAAAACACGACCACATAGTCCAAATAATCGTTTATTTATTTATTTTTTAATATCTTTATTTTTGACAAATTTGTTTTGCTCTAATTGTGTTTGTATATATTTTAAAACATGACTATACGCTTCCACGTAACTTGGAATCTTTAATAGTTTAAAATAAAGATACCGTAACTTTGGGTAACTTTGCGCAAAAAGTTGAAATTTTTTGCTTTGTGTTTCTAAAAATTGGCTCAAAACGTATCTACTATTTATAAAAACTTGCCAAAAATTTTATTTGAACTATTCAAAAACCGTTATTATAAGAATTTATTTTTTTAAACATTAAAGAAGGATTTTTCATGGGTGTCCAAATTATGTCCTAAGTTAACCGGGGCATGGGCTAACTTTGCACAGCTTTATAAAATATGAAAAAAACTTTACCGTTTATATGAATTTTGCTATTTAAACTCTTTTTATTATAGTGTTTAAAGGAAATTTTAACGAGAGTTTACAGAGGAATAAAAATAAAACAATAAATCAGATTTACAATTGTTTTGGTAAATAAAAAAAATTAACATAATAAAAGAAACATAGCCACATTAAAAACTAAAAACAGAAAATTTTCTTTAATGTAGGCAATTATATATCTTTAAAATAAAAAAAATAAAAGTTAAATAAACAAACTTCAAGAAAAATGAAAGTCTAATAGAGGTACTTTAAATTTATAAAATAAAGACTCCTTGATGTGAAACAAACACTGTCCCATTCATAAAAATCTTCTTGCGTGTTAGAAAAGCATTTAATATTTTTACCATTGGCTTCACATAGCACTGTTTTCCTTGACATTTGTAATCTGTCCAGGAAAAAGTTCACATGTCTCAAATTTTCTAAGTTTGGCTTCTCATTCTTATTCTTTTTCTCAACAAGTTTATTTTCAATGCTACTCGATGATTTTGAGCTAGAACTGTGATCATGGCACTCTGTTGGAACTTCTTTAGATTGAACTTTTGACTTTATGCTCTTCGTGTTTTTGTTTAGTTTTTTTTTCTTTGCAAGCTTTGAGTCAATATCAAAACTGTTATCACATTTTTCTAAATCTTCTGTGCCAACACTTTTCCCTGCAGAAATAGAAAGCTTTTTTTTTCGTTTTTTAGTTTCTGGAGACTGCAAGGATTTGTATTTTTCTTGTAAAAAAATCTTAAAGCTGTCTTCTAAAAATTCTTTATCGTACGATTCTCTCTCTCTAAATTGTGTGAGAAGTTGATTGACATTTATTGAATTAATACCACACTTTCTAAAACCTGATTTTAAGTTGTTAGCCTGATTTGGTTTTATAGCAATCAAGAACTTGTTTAAAAGTTCTGGAAAATGTTGTTTTTCAAGAGAGGTTTTTGTGCAGCCATCTTTGTACACTGTAATAATTTTACGCCAAGCTGTTTTTAAAGGTTTAAAGAAAGCCACATCTAGAGGTTGAGTTATATGCGTGCTATTAGGTGGCAGGCAAACAAACAGAATTTCATTTTTTTCACAAGCATTAATTACTTTTGGAGAGATATGAGAGGATAAGTTATTGCCTGACAAAACTTTAACTCCTGATTTTTTTTTTAAAGAAGGTAAAACTATAGAAAAAAACCACTCTTCAAATCTGCTCCGTCAAACCAACCACTTTTAGTGTTGAAATATCTGACTACTTTAGGACCTCATACACACCAAGTCGACTACAGATTTACAGCTTTATAAACTACAAAAGGTGGTAGAACTTCACCTGCAGCATTACCTGATATCATAATAGAAATACTTGTTTTTGAAGTGTTTCTTATATTTGCTGGATATTTATTACCTCTTTTTACCAAGCATTTTTTTGACCCTGGATCATCAGTCAAATTTGTTTCATCGTAATTATATATGTTGCTTAGAGGTACATTTTGTACAGTTATTGATAATTGCTGAATATAATCTTTTAAAATTCCTTCATTAACTATTGCTAGAGATTTTTTTAAGTTTGGCACAAATTTACTTGTACGCTGTGGATGTCTTTGTAAAAATGAATTAACTAAATCAGGCCCAGGAAAGATTTTAGACTCTTTTACTTTTTTTCCTGAACTAATTAGATAATTATTCATAATATGACGTAAATCTTCTTTACCGATTGGAAATCCAAAATCACTTAATTGAATAGAACACTTCACAAAAGCAGCCTCCTCAAATTTGGAAAAGAAGTATGGTTTACCAGGTTTTAAGTTGTGTTTTCCTTTTAATTTGTAACAAATCGTTCTTCGACTGATACCATATTTAGCAGCAGCTTTATTTTGTGTCAGCTTTTTACATTTAACCTCTTCAAGACATTTGGATAAGTCATTACTTGTATAGTCTTTATATTTTCTAGCTTTGTAACAACTTGACATCTAAAAAAACATGAATGCTATTACTAATTAGCAATTAGAATTAATAAAAGCATTAAAAAATTTATGTAGTAACTATGCTTATATAAACAATTTGCTTCAATTTTTAAAAAGTATTGTTTTTATATGATTAAAGACAGTTGTGGTTATTTTGCACATTGTGCAAAGTTGTCCCAATTTAGTCCAAAATAGTAATTTATTTAAAAAAATAGTATTTTTCTATTCATCTATACTGACAATCGCATTAAAACATAGAATAATTCAAACTAACATTATGATAAGCATTTTATGCCATTTACTCACCTTGGGGTTTAATTATGATGTGATTAACAGATAAAAGTTGCAAGAAATTATTTACGTGGCTTTTTTCTATGTTTAAGTAAAGTTACTTGTGTAGAAAGAAATTTCGTTAAAATTACTATTTTACATTACTTTTGAATTAAAACTAGAATATAAAGCTGACTTCAAAAGTGTTATGAAGTTGTAATTCAAATTTTTAACTGCTAGAGAGTAAAGTATCTTTGATTTGGGTTGTGCAATGTTACCCACGGTTGTGCAGAGTTATCCTAAGTTACGGTATTAAATGTGTAATAAGTTCTTTGAATGATAAACATTAAATGGCTAAAAATATGCTCAGTTTTTGTATTGTGTTTGATGTAATGTTTGTTTAGAACTACTTTAGTGGAGTTAGTTCTAAAGAAAATATTAATAATTTAAAAAAAATCCAAGCGAAAGAATCGGATTTGATTTAAAAAAAATGGTAAAATCTTTAAAAAAGAGACAAAACGCTTAACAACAAAAAAAAAAAAAAAAAAAAAAAAAAAAAAAATGACAAAACAATAATGAAGAATCTATAAACGAAAATTCAATTAACACCGGAAATCTCGGAAATCACCGGAAATTACGCAACGCTAATCACCAATAAATAAAACAAAAAAGATTATAAGTTTTCCCTTGCAGAACCTCAAGTCATATAAAATATCAAAACAGGTCATTTAATTTAATTAAATCGCGTCGAAAAAGAACTTAAGATTTCCTACTCCTTTTTAAAAAAGAAATTTTGCTTTACGTAATTTATGGACGATCCCTAAACGGTTTATCAGTATTTTCAGCAAAAAGTGTAATAGACAACAAAGATAATTCTAAAGTTTTAAATTCGCAAGTTGTTTTATAGAAACAACTGACAAAAAACGCAATTCCAATGATGAATCAATATTTGTAGATTTTATTCGTACTCTTTCGTCTCACAAAAGCTGTCTTGTTTGTGGTAAAAAAAGCTTATACAAAAAGTTGAGAAACATCTCTAATGAAGCGATTGTTGACGCCTATATAGAAAAAAAATTGATTGCATTTGGTTCGAGGTGTTGCAACACTTACCTTTGTTAATTGTCAACACTATTAATCAAAAAAAGTTTGGAGATGTTGTTGGTTAGTAAAGTTGATATAAAACTCAAAAATAGAGGTTAAAAACCTTTTAAAACAATACATAGTTTTGTACTTCGAAATTTACTTTCTTACCGTTTCATGAATAAAACATCTTCGATCGAGTATAAGTGTCTCAGCAAAACAGAATTTACACGAGAACGGTATATTAATCACTTGATTCAATGAGAAATTTAATCGAGCGTACAAAAAATCAGGTAATATATCTATTCTGTAATATATCTATTCTGTAATATATCTATTGTGTAATATATCTATTCTGGCTCAAAACTGGATTAGACTATTTAAATATTTTTTAAGTTTGTATCCTAAATTTGATATAAGTTGGTTACTTCAACGAGTCAGAGAGTCATTTACCGTTGATTTTGTGCAAAATAATCTAGGGGTGAGCAACATCCAAAGAAATGAATTGACAAACAATAGCCTTATTGCTAAAGAGATTTTTTTATTTAGTGAGGATCAATTAACGTTAACAGCAGATGGAACTTACTTGTATTGTCAAAAGAGCAGCAATAACATTTTTTAGCGTAAAACATAGAGTGTTCAAAAAAAATAATTTTGTAAAACTATTCGTAATATGTTCTTTTAACGGATATATCTTAGTTGTTTATGTTATTCTAACGGATATATTTTAAAAGTTTATGGCCATTTTGAAGCAACAAAAAATGATGCGGCTAAATTAAGTAAGATTCTAATTAACAACCAAAAGCTTAAGTTTTTTAATTCGACCAAACGACATCATTGTATTGGATCGCGGATTCTTGATTGAATGGAAGAGCTTAAGAATAATTATGAATTACGTCCAAAAATGCCAGTTTGTCTAAAAAAAGACCAGTTAACAACTTTGGAAGCGAATCAATCACGCATTGTTACAAAGGTTTAATTGGTTATCAAAGTTATCTATAACTTTCTTAAGCAATCATTTCGAGCCTTGGATGAAATTTGCATTGTAGGGTAATGCGGGGCAAAATGAGACAGCGGGGCAATACGAGACAGTTCGCGTTTAACATAATGCCAGCCCTACAATGTATTATTTGCAAAATTTTTAAAAGTGCAGTTGTGTTCAAAAACTATTTTGTGTCAAGAAAAATATATTGAGTCACTTTGAAATAAAAAAGTTGAGTAAAAGGGGAGTCATCCTTCGGCTTCGCGAAAATTATGAGTTGTTATTATATTTTTTCCTAGCCTTTTTTGATCTCACTGAGTGGAAAAGCTTTTTATATTTAAAGTTTTTTTTTAATTAGAATCTTTAGGCCTTTTCCTTTCATTTCCATTCTTTGGTATTTTATTTCTTCAATAAAATAGTCTGGAAATTAGGCTATTCGATGCCAACATGATGCGGGGCAAAACGAGACATTCTGTTTGTATTTTTTTTTTTGCCGATATCTAATATTATGTTTATTTATTTTTTTACATTAAAACAACAACCAAAGCAAATATTAATATTTACATGCTGTAGATTTAAATTTATTATACTGTATTTACTTACTTTTTATTTTGTTAATTGAAATGTTTAGTTGTTATTCAATATAGAATTATGTTTTATATTTTGTTAACTTATATTTAAATATAATAAATATTTAATCAAATTGAAGCAAATAATTGCCTGATGTTTATAATTACTATGTTTGTAGTTTATAATCTTATTGTATTGTAATGTAATAAAGTAAGTAGTATATATTATATATAGTGAGTAGATTATAACATAGGTTATTGCAGTACCTATAAACAAAATACAATGTTGTGCGTGCTTTAAATACATAAGTTTAATATATGCATGTATGGTTTTATTAGTTCTTGTAGTAGATATATATATATATATATATATATATATATATATATATATATATATATATATATATATATATATATATATATATATATATATATATATATATATCTATATCTATATATATATATATATATATATATATATATATATATATATATATATATATATATATATATATATATATATATATATATATATATCTATATATATCTATATCTATATATATATATATATATATATATATATATATATATATATATATATATATATATATATATATATATATATATATATATATATCTATATATATATATATATCTATATATATATATATATATATCTATATATATATCTATATCTATATATATATATATATATATATATATATATATATATATATATATATATATATATATACATATATATATATATATATATACATATATATATATATATATATACATATATATATATATATATATATATATATATATATATATATATATATACATATATATATATATATATATATATATATATATATATATATATATATATATATATATATATATATATATATATATATATAAGTGGAGTCAATTTCCAAAATGCACAACCTGGGCTCATTCGGACTGTTGTTTGTTTCAAAATACTGGTTAAGCAATATGTGATTTATGTGACTAGTGACAGTTTGATTATAGCTGTAATATATTATAAAATGTATTTCTTGCTAATTCTTTTAAAGATATGTTTTTTTTAACTTTATTTATTTAAATTACTAAAAAAAAAAAATCTGTCTCATTTTGCCCCGGTATGCGGGGCAAAATGACACAGGGTAGGTGCTGTCAACTTTTTAGGCTTCAAGTAGGATCGTAGAAGAATTGAAAAATATCAATTTATTTTTTCAAAAGTTGTTAGACGAGCCGTATTAGATATATTAGCGCTTAAGTGTCTCATTTTGCCCCTCGTTACACTAAATTTGTTCATATAGTAGATGAGAACCGAGTTGCTGCCGCGATGGTTAATAAATATTTTGGAAGATTACTCGGCGATAATGACAACATAGTAGAAATAATTAAAACTCTGAAAGAATGATTAATTACAGATACTGTCACCATCAAAAAATTTAAAAACAACCTAGAATGGTTCTTCTTAAAAGTGCCTAAATTAAGATCTAAATATACAATTAAGTCTAATTCAACTGCTCTCTTTGTTAATTACACATATACAATAGATTTTATTTTATCTCTTTAGACATCAGTCAACTCGCACTAAACTTGATAGGCCTTTTGCAAAGTAGTCCTCTAAAAAAATCTCTATACGATATAGTTCAGCTAATAGATAAAGATAAAACAAAAACTAATTGGTTTGAAATCTGTAGGATTTTACCAACTCTATGTATGGATGTTTGATATGAGTTTTTCATAAATTATTTATCTGAATTACAATCTTATGAATGCTAAAACTGTAAAACTATTAAAAACAGATAATTAAAGAAACATTTTTTTTTGAATGGGATATTAGCGGGGTTGCTCTAGACATACAAAAGGAAAGACTATGCTCAGATTGTGGCAGCATTAGTACTATTAAAAATCGCTTTTTTAAGAAACATCTTGATTCGGCTGGTTTGAGTAATAATAACCCATAACCCTAGCCATAAAATTTTAATTTACTTTTTTTAAAATAAACTATTTGGTAATTAATTTGGATTTTCCAAGTTTTTTGATTTCAGCTTCGTTTGCGCAACTTTAAGTCAAAACTTTAAATATTTTTTGCGCAACTTTAAAGCTGCATTTCACTGCAAACTCAGGTCATAAGTGTTACCTTCGTGCGCAAAAATTTTGTTAAATAAAAAACGCTACTTTGGGTTAGTTATCATGACTATTTGTTGCTGCTCCTATGGTAAGCCAACAATATCTTAGAATAAAAGAGCATTGTACAGCAAAATATAGCATGAAGTTTAAATTAAGTTAAAAAAAATGAATTAAACTTGCATTAAATAGTTTTAAAACTGCAATTTAAACTTTACGCAGCTTTAACCTGTGGTTTTCAAATTTATTAAGCGCGATTGCATTAATTTTTTGGGTTTTTAATAATTTTGCGATTAATTTTAGAATTTTTAAATGAATAGAAAGTTTAAACAGCAACTGCAAGAGATAAATCAATTGGCAGCATGGTGGATATAGTCTCGTCTTTTTTGTAGCTTCTACTACTATTTCTCCTAGATCGGCGTCCTAATGAATCAGGTTTACTTTGGTCATCATAATATCTTGAATGACGAATATTTTTATCTTCAATAATTTTTGAGTTTCGGAAATTTCTATCTTCAATAACTTTCGAATTTCGAATATTTTTTTCGTCAAAAATTTTCGATTGTCGATTACTTTTATCGTTATTAACACCTGACTGCAGTATACTTTTATCCTCAAACGTTATTGATTGGCGGTTACTTTTGTCTTTAATAACATTTGATTGAAGTGTTTTTGTTGCTTCAAAGTCTACAGAAACTGTAATACAATCTCCTTCATTCTTATTGTTTGATCTTAAAAAACAATTTTTTTCACTCATTAGCAACTTATTATTTTGGTTTTTATTATTTTGAAAGCTATGAAAATCGTTGTCAAAAGTAGCATTACTTGCGGAAACGCTACTCGTCGTCTCGAACGTTTCAATGTTCATAGTACTGACGTAATTTGGTAATTTTTTAAAGTTATTGGAATCTGATTTAAATGTATCTGCTAAAACATTTATTGAGCGTGAACTTTTGTTGTAAGTTTCAATTTTATCTATAATGAGGGTTTTTTGTCTGTTCATTTTTCTGAATTCTTCCCAATAGCGAGAAGTATATACAATAATTGTTAAAAAAATGGCTCCAATCAGAAACCAAAGCAAGCCGAGCGATAGACCAGTTAGTGTTACACTTCGCATCATATGGGGTATAGCTGTTGGTTCAGATACACCAATAAAAACTGCACCAAGAAATTGAAGAATTAAAGTTATGTAAAACGACAAAGTTATAAATAGAAGTGCGGCATCTCTTTTATCCATGCTTGGAAACCTCAGCTAAAACAAATAATATTTCATTTAATAAAAAAGTATATATTTTAGTAGATCCATTTAAACAGAGAAAATAGAAAAACTAAATTAATAAAATTAGTTTAAAGAGATCTCTTTCTCAACTGTATATATTATGTAGCTCCTAAAAGGAGGTTTTTATATTACGTCGTGCACCAAGGTGAGAGAGAGGTTGTGTTTTCTAAGGATTCTTTACCAACGGTAGAGAAAAGGGTTTAAATTTTGCGATGCAACATTTAATAATAATGATAATAATAATAATAATAATAATAATAATAATAATTTAAGTTATTTTAAAAATATAATTAAACATCAAAAATATTTAAATTGATGTAAAGGGAGAAGTTCTAAATACAAAATATAAACTTTTCATTTATTTCTATTATGGCTTTTTAAAATGCGATTTGTATCTATAACTTCTGCCTTGAACTAGTGTGACTAAACCTCTAACTATAAAACTAAGGACACTAATGTATGTTAATGTCTACGTATGCTATAAACCACTGCTACGTTTTATAAAACTAATTTGATAAAGTTTACTTTTATGTTATGTATCGTAATTTAATAGGCTACTTATTTATTTTTTTAAATATTTTTCGATAATTAAAATCACCTTAGTAAAATAAAAATTTGAACTATGATTTTACTATGCAGTACAATTATGTTCAGTACAACTATGTTACGAAAGTCTGTATTTGTTTATTATTGTCTAATATATTGTTTCATTTACTACTCCAATATTACTTGGAATATATTCCAAGTAATATTGGAGTAGTAAATGAAACAATATATTAGAATAATATATTAGAAATCTATTAATAGAAATATCTATTAAATATATTATTATAGATATTAATAGAAATATCTATTAATATATTAGAAATCTATTAATAGAATAATATATTAGAAATCTATTAATAGAACTCAACCAACAAAACTTAAAAAAAATAACTTTTCTCTCTTTATATAATATTATTTACAAAACAATATAGTTTTAAAAAATAAAATCAGATGTTTAGAAGTCAAAAAATATAATCGTGAGCAAAAAAAAAATGCAGTGATTTAAGAGAAACCTTATTATTTATGTTGGAGCTGCCACAATATATCAATATTACAATATTATCAAGGGATTGCGACATCGAAAAACTTGTAAATTACTGGAATAGACGGTTAGTTGTTTCTATTGGAAAGCAACGCAGTTTTGAGGCTCCAGGTTGACCTTTTTAAAAAAAGGAGCCGTTTTCACGGGTTATATGTCTAAGAATAATTTCAAATAAAAAAAAAAAAAAAAAAAAAACCCGGCCATATAGTTCGAAAAGAAGAGCACATCAGGGTGTTCGCGGCGTTGTTTTCTAAAATCTAGTTTCGCGACTATTAAAAAATCTAGTTTCGCGACTATTAAAACTAAGTGTCGTGTAGACTGAAATATTTTTACGTAATATTTTTGTTCAGTCTACTCTAAAATATATGGACTTAAGTAACCAACGTTTATATATTTAATCAAAAAAGGAATATTTTAATGTGTTAAAATATAAGTTATAATTTTTGTTCATAGAAGAATATATGTAACTTTACACATTCTTCTTATTATTTAAATCATGATAAATAAGTCTTTTTAAAATGTGTACACAAAATAAATGTGAATAAATAATAGCTTTTTCAGAGATTGTATTAAAATATTTATGTTAGAGGTTGTTTTAATAATAATTGTAGTTACAATTAAATAAATAATAATAATATACTAGATAAATAATAATTATTAATAATAATTAATAACTGCGTCAGAGGTTGTATTAAAATAATTGTGTTCATATTTTGTTAGCAACATGTAATGATTTCAAAAAAATGTTTTAGTTTTCTTATAAAACAAGTTTTAAAAATGACAATAGACGAAGACGTTAGAAAAAATATTTTTCTGCATTTTGGGAAATCTGAATACAAGCTACAATTCAGTTGCGAAATAGTTGTAATTACATCCTTACACCGTTAATCACGTTATTTGACGTTTTCCAAACAATTTCGGTCCAACGCAAATCTGGTAATGGAGAAAAAAAGGTTTTTCAAAATATAAAATTGGTTAGAAAACTTTTTACCAGTTTTATAAATATTTCAAGCCTCTCACTATGGGAAAGCGCAAAAAATAAAGGATTTTCTTATAGTTTTGTTATAGAAGTTTAAAATAAACATGTTTTTCAAGCTTTCAAATCACAAAAAGTGCATAACCGTTCTAAAATTAAAAAAAAAAGTGCAAGAACCCGTTAAAAAAAAGTTTTTATGACAATTGAATTTCTGAAAATTTCTGAATTATTAAGGATGATGAAACCTTTATGAAGTACAATTATCAGCAAATTCCTGGTGCTGTCTATTATAATGCCAGATATAGAGGAAAAGCAGATAAGAAAATTAAATACGCTTAACATGGTATGCTTCTTAAAAAAGCTTTGATTTGGCAGTCTATTTGCAGTCTATTTATGTCAAAAAATCAGCACCCATATTTCTGAGTTCTAACTTTCTGGTAAAATGTTTAGGAGTCTTTAAAAATATGTCTTTTACCTTTTACTAAATTACATTATAGTAGAAATGTGTTCTGGCCTAATTTATCATCAAGTCATTATAGCAAACTGGTTATGAGATGATACTTAGGGTGATGGCTTTGGAATGTTGTGTTTAAAATTGCAAACCCTTCAAACTGCTTGTAATTTAAAGTTATTGCAAAGTACTGGATAATTATTAAGCGAAAAATTAAAAAAAATAAAATCTATGCAGAAATATTAAAGATTTAAAAGTGGGGTTTAAAAAGCATCAAATAGTTTTGATTGTTATTTTGTGCGCATGCTTATGTGTACTACCAAAGCAAAAACTCAAAATTCTTTTAGATGCCCATAAAAATAGATTAATTTTTTTGAAATATTTTATCTTCTTATATTAATGTATTAAAATTAATAACGTGACTTGTGCATATTTCGGACATATTGTTACTTCGGATGCGTACTAAAAAATCAAATTTCAACGTTGAAATTTAATAATTTTAAATAATTTTTTTTTCTTTATTATTACGGAAACAGTAATCTTTCATAATCTAAAAAAATATATATTATCTATTATCATTTTTGAAATAATATGCATTCAAAGTGAAATTGTATTAAAACATGTAAATCTTGCAAACAAAAAATAAGCGACCATGAGTGGCTACAATAAATGTTTTTTTTCTAGTATTTTCTTATTGCAAAACTTTGGTAAATTTGGATTTTTTTTATATTATATATCTATACATATTTGTTTATACATATAGATTAATATTAAAGTACATAATGGAACTAGATTTAGGCGGGGTGTTGAAGAGTGATTTTCAAATTAAAAACATGACAAATGTAAAAAAAATGGAGGCGGCTTTAGCAGGATTGGCAAAAAGAACATTAAACTAAAAACAAGCAGCTCAAAAATAGGGAATACCAAAATCCACTTTTAATAATCGTGTAAATGGAAACTGTATACTGTATGGTTGGTAAAGGAACTGTTTTAACTATGGCTGAAGAACTTGTGATAGTTGAATATTTTGCTTATCTTGCAAAAATTGGTTTTGGTGCTTCTCGATTCGAAGTTAAACAATTTGTTAATAATTATCTTATTGAATCAAACCAAATGCATCAGTTCAAAAAAGATGAAGTGACTAACAATATTATGGCTTTATGAATAGACAAAAAAAAAAGCTTGCATTTAGAATGCCTAACAATACAGAATCTAAACGTGCTGAAGCATCTGATAAACTAATTTTTGATGCTTGATATATAGAATTGAATGAAATTTTGGACAAATATGGTTTTCATACAAAGTCTATGCATATATTTAATTGCAATGAGTCAGGTATGCAGTGTTTAATTTGAAATGGTAAAATTATATGCGGCAAAAGCAACAACCATCCTAGAAGAATATAAGCAAACAATGAAAAAAAAAATTATACTATTTTAGCTTGTTGTAATGCCTTTGGAAACTTTTTTCCAGTTCATATACTTCATAAAGATGTAAAAATTATGTCTATGTGGTTTAATAATGCACCAACTGGTACTAATTTTGATGCTGATGAATCAGAATGGATGGAAAGTGAACAGTTTGATAACTGGTTTTACAAAGTGTTAGTACCCCATGTTGATAGAATGGATGATGAGTATAAACTGCTTTTTCTTGGTGGTCACGCATCTCACTTATCAATGAAATTAATTAAGTGTGCTAAAGAAAATAAAATAATATTATTTAGACTACCAGCTCATACAACTCATTTAACACAGCCACTTGATGTTGGGGTATTTAGAACATCTAAATGGTGAGAGGTGCTTATTTCTTACTTACGGATCAGTACCAATATTAACAAAGAAAAGTTTTCTCATCTTATGAAATATGTAGTTGAATATGAATTCATATCTGAAAATGCAAGAGCTGGTTTTGAGAAATTTCATTTCAAAATAGCTGATTGTCATATTAATGAAGTATTTAAGCCAGCAAATGAAAATAGTACAAAAAATGCATCAACATCATATTAACTCCAACACCGAGAACATCAAACCCACTAGTGAAGCGTAATAATTTATTGCGAGAAGTAAATAATGTAGTAAAATCTAATCTACCCAGTGGGCACGAACGTTAAAAAGACGTATTTAAAAAGTCTTCTAAACGTTTTGGACGTCTTTTGAACGGCTTTTGAACGTTTTGGACGTCTTCTGAACGTTCAAAAGACGTCTTTTATTGGTCCGGTACTGGGTATCTACCACTTCAACAAATATGGAAAATACACTAGTTAAAGTATTGCAAAAAAAAAAACTTAGTCCAAAAAAAAACAAAAGGTATACAAATTTATGGTAATTGCCTCACTTCAGATGATTTTGTTGCTCAATTAATAGTTAAAAAAGATAAAGATAAAAAGAAAATAGACGAAATAGCTCAACGAGCTAAACAAAACAAAAAGAAGTTGCTGACAAGCGTAAAGAAGACACTGAAAAACGCAAACATGCAGCTAAAAAACGTAAACAAAGAGCCGAAAAACGAAAACTTGCTTCTAAAAAACGCAAAGAAGAAAATGAAAATCGCAAGCAAGTAACGAAGACAAGTAAGCATAAGGCACAAAAAAAAAAAAAAATTAATTAAACAAATGAAATTGTTGAGTCCACTGTAGTCGTAAATACACATGAAGCTATTGACGATAATTAAAATACTATTCTTTTATGGCAAACCACACAAATTATTCAACCCACAGTTTGTGAATGTGGTAAAATTCATCAGGAAAACCCATTCAATTATCATTGGATGAATTGTAAAAGTAGATGTGGTAAACGGTTTTGTGGTACTTGTTTATTTTTATTATTGAGACATAATTTCAATTTGAATTTATATGTTTTTGAATGCAAATGTAAGCAGTTATCTGTTGAATAAAAATCCAAAATTAAATAAACGGTTTTGCATTAAAAAAAAAAAAATCCGATCATTAAATGTATGCGCGTGTATGTGATTTCTTTTTTTTACTATAAAAAAAAAACGATTTATTTTTGCAACTTTGATTTTTTCCATACGTCTTCATTGGAATCCGAATTAACATGCTCTGCATAATATTTCGAATTTTGTAGTAGTGTTTTTATAATTAAATTTGTAAATAAAATATAGCACTTTTTTATTTTTTAAATGATAAGTTTTTATGCAGCTTGTCGAGATCAAGATTATGTAAAATATTTTTAAATTTCTAAAGTTTAAAAGTATAATTAAATAGAAAAATACAAGTTTATAATAGAACTAAAAGTTTCATGCCTATCGGCAATCTTCAGCCGTATATATTATACGAATCAAGAAAAAACCGTTAAAAAATACAAAATACAAAAACAGCAGTAGAATGAGTTCCGACGTCAAAACAAAAGGAATAAAAAAGAAGCTTAGTTGTAAAACTTCTTGCCCAATTTGACACTGGCTAATCGCCAGTGTCAAATTGGGCAAGAAGAAATTTGTTTTTATGCCGGCACTTAGATAATTTTTCAATCTTTTTATTTAACAAATTTGGGTGTTTAAAAAATAAAATTTCGTACTTTTCGTTTATACACAAGTTACATCGTTTTGTTACAGGGTTATAGGCATCGCACTGTTTAATTATTATCCACCTAACAACCGGGTTTAAATTTTCATCTTTTAATCTCCAAACCTTTCATAATTCTTTGATATATCAGTGTCATTTTTGTATTTACGAATTTTTAAAAATTTTATGTGATTAGCATATCTAATTTTAAAAGATGCTTCGCTTATGCCAATGTAAAATTTATTGGTGGGAGTTTGAACAAGATCGTTAGAGCATACATTAGCTTGATATACTATATTTTTTGTTAAGCATTGGTTTGATAAAGGGCAAGTGTTTTTATCTATGCAATTGCAATTATTTCCAGCTGATTCTTTTTTGTTGTTTATAACATGGCGATAGTGGGCGTTTAAAACGAATTTCATATTCGGCATACAGCTATAACTAACTTTTAATGTGTTTCTGTTAAAATTTTTTGTGGAACTTGTGATTTATAGGAAAGTGCTTATCAATTAATGTTAAAATTTTTTTTTCTATATTCGTGCTGACGTTTTTACAAAAAGGGGTGTCGAACCAAATGATATTACGTTTACGGTTCTTGGGGTGAGATAATATTAAGTTAGGTTGGTAAGAAAGATTTTAATTAAAACCAGACTTTTTTAATGCTTCATTATACATTGGAGTGGATTTTTGAAAGATTTCCTCGCTTGACGAATTTGCTGATAATCTTAATTCAATAGAATGTGGGAGTTGCTTTAAAATACTGGATGGGTGGTTTGATTCAGCATGAATGTAATTTAAAGAGTTTCCGGGTTTGGAGTAAGGTTGGTAGGTGTGGTTGTTGAGGTTTAATGTCCAGATAGTATACGATTTTTATGTTGCACTGTGTTGATATCAGAAGATCGTTCGATTTAACAATCAACATTTTTAGATAGAAAGATAGGCAGGGTGTTAGCTAGCGGTGCCATTGCGCTAGCTAACACCCTGCCTATCTTTCTATCTAAAAATGCAAAATGAATAATGATACTTTATTTGATTTCTGATTTGCAAGTTTTTATCAAATAAATTTCACTGTTTGAGTCCTAATATCCAACGCTCAGCATTTGACTGACTTTAATCTTCGGTTCCGTCTCTTCGGACTGACTTTAATCTTCGGTTCCGTCACCCTGCGCTTATTTTATTATATGATATATAATTATATATAGTTATTATGCATATTTATCATTGTAAATTTGTCCAAATGTAAAAAGTTCATAGAACAACTTATTACTCTTTTTCGTGTCGAAATAAATTTTATTTAACTGGTTGTTAATTTTATTTTGGATAATTGTAATTGCAATAAATTGTGGACAGACACTTAACATATATAATATATTATATCAAAATAATACATAGTTATATATGGCTATTTATCACTATAAAAAACGTTTTGTATGTATGGTTGCTCTAGACATCGAAATATCACCGCACGGCTCTTTATAAATGCTTTTAAGATTATAAAGATTTTACTCTTCTATATTTAAACGGAGTTATACATAATACTTTAAACAATTTTATTTTATCTTAAACTTCTAAAGCCAACGTAGGGGTTCTATACAAATGTTGTAGTGAATTTAATCATCCGCATTTACTTTAAGTTCCGACTTGTTTTTACGAATCCGTTTTTTTATGCAAACATTTTTATGTAATTTTATTGTCTTATTATATGAATATAAGAATAAAAAAAGTATATATCATTACCTACCTCTAAGCATTACATACACTAAACATTATTTTTAACTAAATACCCATTTGTAAATAACTGTTTATTTATTGAAATCTTTACGGCTTTAAAAAAATATAAATTCTTACCGCCCAAATTGGGTTGAATGACGTCCTTATATTATATTTTGTTTTGCAAATTTCACATTCATTTTTATTTTTCAAGGTTAGCCATTTTTCTAAACATGACTTGTGAACAAACTTTGAACTACCTGAGCAACGACAAGGAGTTATGAGGTTTTCATCTTCGATATTGTAACAGTAACGACATTTTATACCTTCGCTAACAATTGTGCTTGTTTCATGCATTGATTGTTGAAAGTTTTGACTTTTTGGAACGTTGACTACAATAAAAGGAGGTATGGAAGTACTTGCTGTAATAATTTCATCTTTTTTACAATAATTTGAACGAAATATTTTTTCAAAAGGATCTTTTAAGTTTATGCGTTTCTCAGTAGATTCCCTGACTGTGTAATTAGTGTTGCAAGATTGCCTGCTAACATAATTTGTGGCTACTGGCTCGCTAATGAGAGAGACTCCATCTTCGTGTAAAGGATTGGGCTTCCAAGCATGACGCTCAGGCATGCTTGCTACACTGCCACTTCTACTTGATGAAAATTTGGAATGACGATGTGAAAATTTCCTATAAATAATTAACAAAATATAAAGCCAAAGCATAACGTCAAAAATTTAACGTCAAAAACAAAACGTCAAAAACAGCGACTTTAACACATGAAAAACTCGCAAATTATTTATTTCAACAAAAAGATTTGATATTGTTTTTATAAAATGATTGTAGTTCTGTTTTTTATTTCTAAGTAAAATTCAGTTAAAAACGTTTAAATGGTTTTTGTCAAAATTTTTATTTGGTTTGTAACGCTAAAACAAACATTTGCTAATTATAAAAAAATACATTTGCAAATGAAATAATATTTAACTTAAGGATTAACTCCAATAACTTTTTTTTCATTTATATGTAAGAAGGGCTTTCTAATTCAATGGAAATAAAAAAAAAAGGAAAATATCGATGTCATGTTGAACAAAGAATTACTTTAAGTAGATATTTAACAGATGTTAAATCTCTTTAATATCAAAAAAAATTTTTTTTTTAATTACTACAGTATTTTAAAATGAACCTGGTGGGAAATAAGCAAACGAATAGCTTGCGTCACTTTTATAGCAATTCTGTCTTGTCATGAAAAATTCGATTTTTAGTATTAGATCTAGCAAATTTACAATAAAAATCAGAAGCGATTCTAGTTATAAAATAAAAAAAAGGAGGGGGTGGGGCCTTCTATAAAACTGCCAAATGTTTACAAAAAAATTATATAAACATTCCTCCCCTATAATCGTACCAGATAGTAATTGAGCTTATAAAACTGAGACATGTTGCTATGGGATCGTCCATAAATAACGCAATGCAAAATTAAATTAAAAAAACAGATGTTAGATATCTTAAGTTCTTTTACGAAGTCTCTGCGAGGAAAAAATTTTGATTTTTTTTGATTTGTTTATTCGTGAAATTTAGCGTTGCGTAATTTATGGACGATCTAGATATCCCAGCTTATTAGTTATCGATAAAACTGCGATATTTCGTTAACTACAGTATTGTAGAATTGTAGCTTGCTGCGACGCAGCGATAATCTGTAGCTAGTACATGCATTTATATATAAATATATGTACATGTATGTAAATAATTAAATATATATATATATATATATATATATATATATATATATATATATATATATATATATATATATATATATATATATATATATATATATATATATATATATATATATATATATATATATATATATAGGGGCCATCCATAAAGAATGTCATCCAAATAGGAAGGGGGAAGGGGGTCGAGTTAAAAAGGACAAGGAGAGGGGGGGGGCGGAAAAGATGGTCATAAAAGGACGTCACTTTATAGATTTTTTAATTTAGTTTAATTAACATGGAAAACTACGTAAACATGTGTTTTTGAGAAGATAATGTATGAGAATACTTTTATTTTAATTTCATTTTTCAAAGATGTAGCAGCAGATTCAAACATCATTGCAAGATGGAATAAATTTTTTTGGAGTTAAAAATAGGGAGGGGTCAGGATTTTATGACGTCCTTTTCCAGGGAGAGTATAGGGAAAAAGGACAACCGGTGACAAAAGGGGGGGGAGGGGGTCGAAAATTGGTGACGTCCTTTAAGGATGACCCCTTATATATATATATATATATATATATATATATATATATATATATATATATATATATATATATATATATATATATATATATATATATATATATATATATGTATATATATATATCTATATATATATATATATATATATATATATATATATATATACATATATATATATATATATATATATATATATATATATATATATATATATATATATATATATATATATATATATGTATATATATATATAAGTATATAAATATATATATATATATATATATATATATATATATATATATATATATATATATATATGTATATATATATATATATATATATATATATATATATATATATATATAAATAAATATATATATATATATATATATATATATATATATATATATATATATATATATATATATATATATATATATATATATATATATATATATATATATATATATATATATATATATATATATATATATATATATATATATATATATATATATATAATGCATGACTGATGAAAGGTAAAGAAAATGTCTTAACAGGAAATTCACGGAAGGTCGCCTACAGTTTTTAATCAACGCATATTTTATTTTTAACCTATATTCCATCATCATTCATTAAAACTCTTAGATAATATTTTGTCTGCTTGATTACGCGTGTTTTCAAACGTTTAGCAGCTTTTTGATTTTATCTTAATAAAAAAATAAAACATATAATGCATCACAACAATGTAAACATTGTAGAGATTTAGGAGTAGTCCTTTTAATCTCTGCAATGTTTGCCTTGTTGTGTTGTATTATGTTTAATTTTTTGTGCGAATAAAATTAATTTAATTTATTATGATAAAATACCTAGTATTTTATTATAATAAAACTAGTTTTTCTTAAGTACAATAATATTAAATCTTTTTTTTTTTTTGAATGACCCTCTTATCTTGACTTTTGATTTAACAATAGGTTATACCATTTTTAATGCTATCTTCAACAATTTTGTTAATTACATTTTTTTTTTGCACAAAAATTGATATATCGTTTTTTTAACTGATGTTTGAAATCTTGTAAAAAAAAAAAAAAAAAAAAAAAAAAAGTTATAATTTTTTTATTTGTTTTAAAAATAAACGTAAAATAATAAATGAGGTAATGTGTTAAACAAGATATGCGCGCACAGTCAATTGCTTTTAATCAAATCAGTTGCTTAAAATTTATAACTTAGACTGCGAGACGCCATTTTTTATAAAATTATAATGATGTTTTTGAGACGCCTTCTTTTATACAAGGTGTTTTTGATTCAAATATGGATAGTTTTAGTATTATATAAAAAATAGTTACGATTGAAAAGAAAGAACTTAGCGCCTTTTAGATATATTTATTGTTATAAGAAAAATTAAAATAATAATAATAAAAAAAAAGGTATCCAGCGAAGTATTTTTTGAATATCAATAATTTTAAATCGTAAATAAAGATGATGAACATTTTTTTAAAATTCTAACATAAGACTCTGATAGTTTCGTTTATAAAAACGCTGCGAAAATTACAAAGAAAAAGTTATTTTCCCCAACCCCATTTTACCTTAAACTATCTCTCACAAACATAGCTTCAGGCATTAAAGCTTCTTCACCAATAATCGCTTCTCTGATAATTTGAAAAATAAAAATAAGCCCTACTATTTGTGATTTTAAACATACATTTGTGGTTTGACATTTGTGAAAAGGTCTCTCATGGGGGGTTTGGGAGGGTGTCGTATGTGTGTTTTGCCAACTTGGGACACACACCAAAATGGTCCTCGATATTTGACATTTCCTAACAATACCTCAAAAATTGCCAACTGAAATGCTTAATGTGCAAATGTGCCAACTCAAATGCATATATAACAGCTTTTGGGGAATGGGGCAACCCCTACACACCCGTTCGAGACGGCCCTGGCGGTAGCGAGACATGGTTTGCAACTCCGCAATTCCGCTACATGAGGACTTACGGTTTGGTAGCGGAGTTGCAAAACACTTTCATTAAAAAAATTTGTTAGAGAAATAAGGTTTATTTAAGAAAAAAAAATCTAAGCAATACTCTGCTACTATTTAAATTTAGAAATATCATTTGAAGTTGTTTAAGTTACAGACTTTTTCATTTACTGAAAATAAAGTGAAAAAAAAACCCTTTTAAAATATCAAAAGTTTCCAGTGTTATTAAAATAATTTCAAATAAGCGCAATTTGGTTTAAAATCTTTGAAGAAGCGGCTTTAAGGAAATGTGAGTTTTATATAAAATGCCTGCAACTAGCTTGATGCATTATATTGAACATATATATGCGTTAAAACTTTTCTATTATCTTATTAAAGTAATCTTAATATAAAGTTAAATAACAATTTTTAAAAATTGCAGAACAACTGCAATTTCTTATTACAAATTATAACAATAAACAACGCAATGAATTCAATGTTATATTTAGAATTTCTTCAAGCAAAATAATGCTCGTTACTTTACTGATTGCTGTACTTAATACCTTTAATTTTTTTTAAATGTTTTTGTTTAATTGCAGAGTTTTTTGTTGTTGTAGTTTTAATTATTCTCAAAACAAATTTAAGGAGTCCAAACTGGGAAGCCCTTACCAGACATCATGTCCGACCTGGGTTTGGAGTTTAGTATAAACGAGAGAGTTTGTAGAAGCAATTTATTTCAAAACCTGTCAACTAAAAACTGTGTCTAGTTCCAGAATATATTTTGAAAATTTAAAGGTTTTGTATTCAATTGAAATTTGGAATTTAGTTTTTTTAATCCTCTCGTTATTACAGCAACTGAAGACAATGATGATATCATTTTCCCAAAGCAATGTCTTTGCACAGCTCAAACAATGAACTTTGCCGCTTATAATGATACCCAGAATGTACCAAGCTGAAAATCGAGTCCCAGGGCATTGACATCAAAGCAGCCCTAAAGTTGGCGACACCAGAAAACATAGTTTGAACTTCAGCTATAATAGGTTTAAATGCCTATTTAAATCAAAGTACATAATTTTTTTTATTTTTTGTTGCAAATGGACAATAAAAATTTTTTATAACGTTTACATTTGAACAGTATTTTCACTCTTTAGTGCATTCGTAATAAAAGCTGCCAATTTGTCAGCTACCTCTGCAATAAACTTCGTATAGCGGAAGATGAAGAAGAAGAAAAATAGTTGGAGTAAAGAGACAAGTAATGTTTTGCAAAAAAAAACACCAAAAATTTATGTTTTGTGTCAAAATCCATTAAGACTCACCAGGCAAATGCTGGCACCAGCATCACCATGGCGACATTAATGTAAAAAACTAGCATCACTAAGCACATTTAATGTGCAATACACTAAAAAATTTGTCATTTCATGTCATCCTATATCAATATCAAAAAATCAACGTTGGTGAGAGGGACACGAATTTTATTTTATTTTGTTTTTTTTAGATTTAAAAAAATATTTGGTATCGGACTGGAAGTGGACTAGCGCTACTAATTTTAAAAGTTGATAAAAAGTAGCGGAAAAGTTGATAAAGTAGCGGAAAAGTTGATAAAGTAGCGGAAAAGTTGATAAAAAGTAGCGGAAAAGCTTTTGGTACTCAGAGATACGGAAGATAACGAGAAGATATTTTAGCTATGTGTAGCTTTAAATGTTATTGAAAATCAATAAATTAGCCATTTTTATAACAAGTAATCATTGACAAAGTGATGTTGAACATGTTTTGTCTATCGCCGTTTTTCAAAGAAAAGAACTTTTGTTTTTGATGAAAATTAATTCAATAACCTTAAAGCATTTTTAAACTATCGTAGTTTTATCAATGTTTTTATTCAACTTTTGTTAAAATGTTGTAGTTATATTACTTAAATGGCAATTAATGAATATTATTACAACAATTAACAAAAATTAGTTCCTACAGTTTATATTTCAAACACCTGTTTGAAGTATTTAAAATTAATAAATTAATCTTCATCATAACTTAATCTTAAAAGATTGTAAATACTGAAGACAGAAAACATGTTGAATCTTCAATGATTGCAAGCACAGAAGATAGAAGCAAAATACAAAATAGCAAAAAATAAACATTTTAAAGCTATTACCCAAATAACCTTTTGATTACAATAAGGTCAAGTAGGAAGTATGTAACAAGACAAAGAAAAAAAAGTCTACGTGGAAATATGTTTATTTGTTTTATAAGAATTTTTAAGGAAATATATATACACACACACTCACACACACTTTAAATTGAAATAAGCCTACCCCTTATACTCCAATTAGAAAACATATACACACAAATAAGCTAAAAACGTATGTTTAAAACTAGCTCAAAAACAAACTCAAAATCTTAACTCAAAAGAATGCAAAAAGGAGAGGGGGTCACTCAAAAGAAAAAACTTAAAATTTCTGTAAAACTTTAAGAAGATTATTTTGATATATTAGTTAATAAGCTTAAAAGTACAAAAAGATCTCACGCATCTCTAAATGTTTCACTTGTGTAAATGAACCTACATCTTGTCACTAAATACGCTTTATTGTGTTTTTTTAAATGATTTTAATCTTAACAATACGAAACTAAAAGTTGTCCGTACCTTTTGCATCTAACACAGTTCTTGGGAGTTTTTATTGTTATATCGTTTCCACTTCTTAACTGTTCATAAAAGTTGTGGTCTCCAGATATTGTAACAGAAAACGTTGGCTCCATTTTTTTATATTTAGTGATCAAAAAATTTTAGTCTTTTTAAATTAATTATCTAGTCATAGATAAAGAAAATAAAAAGTAAACAAAAAAAATTGCTGATTATTTAAAATCTTATCAACAAACTTTTTCCTGGTTAATACACCAAAAATCTTCGTTTTTTTCAAGAAATTTAGACGGAAAATTTTACACCTAACGCATATGTTCTATTTAAAGTATTAAAACACGTGTTAAAAATATGTTTTACAATTGGTTAAAACATGTGTCCTATTTAAATAAAAAATCTGATTTAATATAAAGAATAAACCAGGTACACAGACAAATTCACAGAAAATAATATAAGTAGATATTTTAAACGTTACAATAAAGCTTTTGAAAAGATAAACAAATATAACGCTATTCTTTATGAATATTAACACTTGAGTTTTGCGATTCTGCGACTACATAATTCATTCTTCGTGAATTAACAAACAAAAACCATAGAGAAAAGTAGAATAGCATAACATGGTGAGAGAAAAATAACTTTTTTGAAATATTTATGACAACAAAGATCTTTACTTGGAAACAATTTTTATGAAAGTTTTAAAAAAATATATTTTGAAAAGTAATATCTTAATTTTCTTTTAATAAAAAAACAATATTTACTTAGTTGAATTTTGCGCGTATTTAGTAATATTGTCAAAGTTAAATTTTCAACAAGAATTATTTATGAATGGAGCGCCGACGGCAAATTTAATTTATTAATAACTTTAATTTATAATACTTTAATTTAATAATAAAATTGTTGACATAATTAAAGAATTCCTACAGGTCATACTATTTATAACGCAACCTGGAAGAATTAAAGTTGTTATTTTTCCATAGTTTTTTTTTATATTTCTGTTTTTTTTTATATATATTGGTTTTTAGCTGGTCAGTCAAGATTAGTGCTGGATTACCCAATAAGCCCGACTAGGCAATGACCTAGGGGCCCCATCTAACTAGGGGCCACCAAAAATTAAAGTTTTTTTTTTAAGTTTGAATACACTAGTCAATTCTAGGTCGTTTAGGTTGAAAATTTAATTACTTAAAAAAAAATTATTACAAAGTGTTCAGGACTATTATACAGACAATATTATGAAAAGAACAAATTATTTGGTGTACGTCCTGATGAGAAAATCAATTTTTAAAGGGGATCTGGGCAACTTTTTCCCCCTCCCCTTGCCCCCCTTTATTTATTAAAAAAAAAAAAATTATGCCATCTTTAGAAAAATCAAGCATCAGTTACATATTCAAAAATTCAATAAAAAATATCTTGGCGTTCAAAAGATATAACCATTTAAAATAAAACTACAAAAAATTAAGTTTACTTTACATTAAAATATAGTGTAATACTCATGATATAATAAAGCCTAATCTGCAATATTATTGTATAACAGTGTAAAAAATAACAAAATTATATTTTATTTCATGGAAAAATGTAAAATCATCTGCTATATATATATATATATATATATATATATATATATATATATATATATATATATATATATATATATATATATATATATATATATATATATATATATACTCTGAAACAGTATAATATAATCCATAATATATACTGATTTAATGTAATCTTTAAAACTATATAATATACAAGATATGTATAATTATGTAATCAATAGCAAAGAAAAAACTTAAATTCTATGACTTGAATATTCAACTATTGCCTTTCTAAGAAGCTCTCCATGGTTCTCTCTGAATTCTGAAGTTGAGAATCTGCTCAGTGTTTTCAACATATTATGATGAACAGATTCAGAACATTGTTCAGAAAATACTCCCAATGGCAGCTTAGTTCTATTTAAAAACATGACAAGATAGTGTTCAATTATATGACCTTTCCATCCCATAGAAAGATTGTGGTTGAATGTAGTCTTCACATACTCTTGGTTTTCCTAAATTAATTATTTAAAAAATGGTTAATATAAACAAAAATTAAAACTTTATTTTTAAATGTATGAGTTGTTTATGCATTTATGTAACTATTACCTTTAACTTTCTTATATATGTTGCAATGGCATCAGCATAACCGTCATGGAGTTTCATTCCGAAACACATGTTTACTACTAAATGTAAATTTTAGTGTCATTTGTGAGAAATTGCTTTTGATTCAATAAATATTTCTTTTTAAACCATAATTAACTTTTAATATATAAATACTTTGTAAAATTAAGTATATTTAAAATTTACCTGAAGAAGAAGACTTTAACAGTTCAACAACTGGATAATAAGAAGAAAAGTTATCTAAGATAAATTTTTCCAAATTTGGCAAAAGCTTTCGTATTTTGTTAGCATTCCTACCATCCAGTCCACCTCCATTATACCCATGCCAAATAATTCCATGCTTTTTTAACCAAAGAGCAACATCAGGTTCCTTACAAAAGACATTTGAAATTTCTGTTATAATCTTCATCATTAAATGAAGTTCTGGAGGAGGGATGACATCAAGCACATACATCTCTCCAGACTCAACCAGGAGACATGGATGTATAACATTCTTATAGAGTTGCATGGAGCTTTTTTTAAATCCACTTTCAGCAAAGTTTTTATACGTGTTCTTAAGCATATTAAAGGTTCTCAGTTCTCCAAGATTAGTTTTATCACCATCACAAAATAAACACGAATATTTTCCCCCATGTCCTGACAAACCCAAAACTATGTTGCATAATTTAAGATCTGCAGCAAGGTAAAACTTTAAATTGTTTAGCTTTGTTTTTTCTATAAGAATTTAAAGATTTGTGCCAAGAATTTCTATAAGAATCTGAAGATTTTGCCAAAAATGTTTGGCTTTCACAAACATTTTTGGCAAAAGCCAATATTATAACTTTGTTCACTCCAGTATTCTTGGTTTCTTTGGAGTCATAATTTATTTCTTTGTTAAAAACATTCATAATAACTTTTAAAGATCCTTGGCCACTATCTATTCCTATACGAATAATAACGTTCTCGACTTCTAGTCCCCTAGCAATGCAAACATGATTAACTAGAGATACTGGATCTTTGACATACACTAGATCTTTAATGACAGTTTCAATAGTTTTATTTTCTTTAACTTTATTTTTGGATAGAAATTCCACTTTTTCCACTGAGTAATAGTTATTTAAGGCATGTGACATTATCTTAATTTTTTTGGAAGAATTAGATTCCACACCTAATCTACCCAAATCTTTTCTTAATTCCATTGCTATTGAATCAATAGTACAGTCTGACATATCATGCTTTCTTTTGATATTATAGAAAGTTTGGGTAGAGAAAGGGTTGGCTTTTTCCCTATCTGGAGACTTAAAGGAGTTCCTCCAGTCGACAAAGTAATAGTGTTATCTAACTCAATATTTTTAAATTGTTGAATTTCTTTCAGAGATTTGCTAAGTACTTGCTCAACTGTTTTTAAACCTGAAAAATTTGTAAATATGTTTTAGGATTACATAAAAATTTAGGTTTAAAAAAACTATAATTAAGCTCTTACCTGTTAACATTAGCAGTGTTTTTAGGTTCTGTACAATGTCTCTCTTATTACAGGGATGTTGAATTCCAGATCCAATTCTTTGATAACAAGTACAACAAATTTTATCTATGACCTCCTTTGGTACTTCAGGGTCATTAATGTACATGTTTAATACATCCTAAATAAATAAAAAACTATACTTATTTAAAATATAGCTAATTAAACTATAATAAAAGTTATAATTTTATAAATGTTTTTAACGTAAATAATTGAGCTACATATATGAGTTCTTTATAAATTACCTGAAGGTTTATAGATTTGGATTTATCTCTTGACATGATACAGAGCAGGCAATCACATGTTGACACTGTCTCACCTATATTTATATATATAAACAAATGTTTATTCATATTATTTATAGCTTTTATTATATGCATAAGTAAGTATAAGTAAAAGTATTACCTTTAAATCTCGGAAGTAACTTTATTCTCTCTGATGTGAGCAACCACCTCTCCAAAGTAACTAGTGATAAAGTTTCTCCTTTTTTAGCTGAGTACAAATAAATCTTGCAGGTTGGACATAACCCAATAGGGTTGGAATAAAGTGTCATATTATAGTTAGTGTTGGCATACAGTTGAATCAAGATTAGTAAAGGATTTCCAGTTACCAGTTCAATGCATTTTAAATTCTTATCACCACAGCAAACACAAATAAGTTTTCTTGAAGAGAAATGATCCCTTGGTTTGTTTGGCATGTTAACTATGTTAATTATGCTAGTTTTAATGCAAATAAATAATAAATATGTTAGATTTTTAACTAAAGCATATACATACATACATATTAAATATAGTAACACTTTGACTAGTTTTACTTTAAATGGTTATATCTTTTGAACGCCAAGATATTTTTTATTGAATTTTTGAATATGTAGCTGATGCTTGATTTTTCTAAAGATAGCATAATTATTATTTTTTAATAAATAAAGGGGGGCAAGGGGAGGGGGAAAAAGTTGCCCAGATCCCCTTTAAAAATTGATTTTCTCATCAGGACGTACACCAAATAATTTGTTCTTTTCATAATATTGTCTGTGTAATAGTCCTGAACACTTTGTAATAAAATTTTTTTAAGTAATCAAATTTTCAACCTAAACGACCTAGAATTGACTAGTGTATAATATTTCAATATAATATTTTATTGTGAATTAATTAATAATGCAAATAATGCGATTTAAACATTATTATTGCTCTACTTTATTTATAAAAATACTTAAAATATTTTTGTGCAAAATTTTCCTGCAATTAAGCAGCGTATTTTTATGTTTTTTGTGCTTTCATCTGCAGACACTTGAAAACTTCCAAAATGATAAGGAAAAGCGAAGTAAATAAATTTCAAAGTATACTTTGGAATTTATTTATACTTTAATAATTTTAAGAAAATAAATATAAAACTTGTTATTTTAATAACTAATTTGATATTTAATTACTTCACTGTTGTTGCTATTATAATTTTTATTACTTGTTTTTTATTTTATCTTTAACATTGTTAAAAATTTGTTTTGTGTTGTCTATTATTTTTCTTAGTTCAATTTTTTAACTGCGCGCGAAATGTTGATCGCAGCGGTTGTTGGCTAAAACTTAAATGTAGTTTTAATCATAACAATAATCCAAATCATGCCACAATCTCACCTAAGTGGG